TACTGTAGATGCAATTACAATGAAAAGGGAGGCATTGTGGAGGGAGTAAGGGAAGAGTAAGAGGAAGTGGGGAGGGAGGTGGATTGTGGACAAGGATTTTTAATATGGTTTTGAGGAGAGGGGAAAGAACCAGCGAGACTATTTCCAGAGTCTTGGTTGAGGAATTCAAGATCACCTTGGAAAATCTAGACCTGGTGGATTTGCCTCTGACTGGAGGAAAGTGGACATGGACTAATCAGCGTAGCTGTCTGCTGTGATCCTAGAAGGCTCAAATTTAATTCCAATGATGCAATTCCGCACCAAGGAGGTATTCTTTGGTAATCAGGATTTCCGCAGGATAATTACACTCGAGTTTACAGCTATACGAGAAGGAAGACATGCAGCACGCACAAGCAAGCGCATAGATGATGCGCATGCATGCCACACGACACGCGGACACAGACCTGCACGCGCAACCCATGATGGACTCCGGTTAAGACTTTAGATGAAGCTAGCAGGATCGAACTTGAGAAGGAATTTTCTAAAAATGAAATACTTAAGGGTTGTAAGGATTGCAATGGGGAGAAAGCCCCATGGTAAGATGATTTTAATATGAATTTTCTTCAAGAGTTTTGGCCTATTATTAATTAAGATCTAATCGATGTATTTAATGAATTCCACAAGGTTGAGACTTTCGTGAAATCGTTGAACTCCACTTTCTTAATGCGTATAACAAAAGTTGAAGGAGGTAACACAATAATGAGTGCAGATCTATCAGTTTAGTGGGATATATTTATAAGTTAATTGCGAAGGTTTTGGCTAGAGAATGACCGAGGTATTGGGTCAGGTTATTGGTGAGAGTTAACATGCTTTTGTGGAAGGGAGATTGATCTTGGATACTGTTATGGTGACTTCTGAAATGGTGGATGATTTGATCAGTAATACCTCTTAGGGGCCCTTTGTAAGCTTGACATGAAAAAACTTATGATCATGTAAGTTAGGACTTTGTTTATTATATGCTGGGTAGGCTTGGTTTTGGGTAAATATGGAGGAGATTGATACTCATATGTATTACTTCACCTTTATTCGCTGTGATGGTGAAAGGTTTGTCCTCTTTTTTCAAGTCTCTTTGAGTTTGAGACAAGGCGACCTACTATCCTCATTGTTGTTCATTATTGTTATGGAGATTCTGCATAAGTTAATCGAGAAGGTAAAGGAAGTTGGTTCGCTGAGAGGCATTCAGATTGGGAGAGATGCTAATCAAGATTAAGATATCACACCTTTTAGTTGTTGATGATATTTTGATATTCAGTCATGCTGAGTTGGGGATACTGTTGAATTTGAGATGTATTCTGC